GCTAGATTAAAGTGATTATTAAGTTTTGAATATGGATATTTTTCTTACAAAAATGCATCGATTCGCTACAGAAGACCTTTGTTCACCCCCCCGGAGCCGTGTGAGACACCTTTTTTTATGGATGGGCGCTTTTTATTTAAGTTCTTCTGGACTGAAGAAATGCAACACCCGCTGATTGGCATGAAACAGCTTGAAAGATCAAAGACAATTTTTAATATAACTCCGACTGGATTCGTCTGAAAGAAGAAAGTCCTATACACCTAGGATGCCTCGGGGGTGGGTAAAACGCAGCCTAATTTTAATTTTTGGGTGAACTAACCCTTTAAGGCACATTTATCCCATTATCTCGTTTCAGTGAGCACTGCTCTGTCTGTATAAAGAGCACACAGTCTATCTGGACTCCATGTTTTCAGCAGTAATGAGTGTATTGACAGGTTGCTTTGTTTGTGTGTGCAGGCAATCGTTGCAGCGTTTGCAGTTTCAGGATATTCCTCCACCTATTATAGAGCAGGCAGTAAACCCTTTAACCCCCTTCTGGGGGAAACGTATGAATGTATCCGTGAAGACAAAGGATTCTGCTTTTTTTCTGAACAGGTACGAATTCATGTATCTCACACACACACTATAGCTGCAGTACCTGTTCCAGGTGAGTTCCTGTCCTTCACTGTAGCACTGCACCACTTCCTCTGTGTGTGTGTTTGTCTGTGTGTCTGTGTGTGTGTGTGTGTGTGTTTGTTTGTTTGCTTGAGGCAAGGCCATCGATAGTCCTCTGGCTAAGGTTCTTCCTGCGTGACTTGAAAAGGGTCTTTGTCAGCAGTGAACTTTCCCACAGGCTGTGTGTCTGACATAATGCAGTGTGTTCATAGAGGGCCGTGATGAGAGAGAAACACTTGCACAGGCTCACTGTAGTGTAATTTATCTTGCTTTATCTCACATCCACACACTCTGGAATAAACTGACCGACATGTGTCTCTCCACTGGAGTCTGAAGATCTGTGAGAATGAAACCGATTCCCCTGCAGCCCTTCATTTTACCCTTCAAACTTTTGTTGTTTTCAAACTGAATCAGCTGAACAATTACATTTGAATTTAATATTGGCCTTTACAAAGGAAAGCAACCATTCCAGGGGAACATTTTAGAGGCAATTTTTTATGGCTCAAGGAGGGATCGTTCTCCCAAAAAGGAAAATTGTCTGTTAATTTACTCACCCACAGGCCATCCAAGATGACTTTCTTTCTTGAGTAGAACAATAAAGAAGATTTTTATCTGAAAACGGTCCTTGATTATTCATAAAATGCAAGTCACCAGCTACCGTTACTCCGAGTGGCAACATCCGTGGCTTGTGATGATATATTGAGGTCTTATGATGCGAAACGATCGGTCTGTGCAAGAAAATAATTTTATTTACAACATTATTACCTGTAATCCATAGCCTCAGCCCTCAAACAGTCGCAAATGAATCATTCTTTTGAACCGGTTCTTTTTGGTGCACGAGTTGAGCCAGTTTACCAAATTGGACTGAACCATCTGAAGCAGTTTCCTCAAACAGTCACTGAACGGAGGAAACAGTTGAAAGAGTAAAATTAAAGTTTTTATGGTTTCTCATGGTTGCTCATGTGAAACGGTGAGTTTATTAAGTAGTTATATGCTGATTAAGTAATGGTATATATGTTTTAGACATGTAAAACATCTATGTTTCACATCATTATTTGGTGCTTTAATAATATAATTCCGTATATGTGACATCATTGTGTGATAACATCCTAAACAAACGTATGAATCAGTTATTTGAACCAGTTCATTGAAGCAGTTCGCAGAAAAGAATAAATTTTTCCGTTTGCCTGAGGCTCTGAATTACAGGTAATAATGTTGTAAATAATGTTCAGTTTCTTGCACAGACTGATTGTTTTGCATCATAACACCTCAGTATATCATCAGGAGCCACGGGTATTAATTTTGTGTTGCCTGATATGTTCTGTTTGACTTTCTTTCTTTACTGAAGAAAAAAACCTGGGGTTGAGCAAATTAAGAGCAAATGCTCATTTTGGGGTGAACTATCCCTTTAATTGAGTTTTTGATGAATGAATTGATGTTTCTTTTAAATACCAGCTTTTTCTTAAATGTTTCTCTTAAAACAGGGGTGTCAAATTCAGTTTCTGGAGGGCCTCTGTCCTGCAGAGGTTAGCTCCAACCCTAATTAAACACCTGAACCAGCTAATCAAGGTCTTAAGGCTTGCTAGAAATTTCTATGCAGGTGTGTTGAAGCAGGTTGAAGCTAAACTCTGCAGAACAGTGGTCCCGGAGTTCGACACGTCTTAAAAAATAATAAAAACAAATGAGACATACTGTATGAAATGAATATGAGAGCAGCTCAAATCATTCAGTTTTGGATAATTTGATGGGAAATCTTTGACTTTTGGTGTTTGGCAAATCTGAGCACAGTTTGAGACACTATTGGGATCTCATGAGGAGTTATTTATAAAGCACAAAGTATGCTTCAGTTTTGACACGAAAGCATAGCATCAGTGTTAATTTTGACAGCAAATTTTGATTTAGTTTTAGCCAGTCTTTTGACTGAAATGGCATTTAGTTTGTCATATTTTAGTCATCTGAATTGTTTTTAGTTTTAGTCTAGTTTTAGTCGACTAAATACCATAAGATTTTAGTCGACTAAATCTACAGTAAATTTAGTCGGCTAAAATCGAATGGGTTTAGTTACATTGTAATGCATTTACTAAGCATTTCTCTAAAATTTCCAAACTCAT